GGGGTTATTATGGGGGGCTGTGCTTTGGGGCACATAGGGCTGTGGGGGGCTGTGCTTTGGGGGTACACGGGGTTATTATGCAGGGCTGTACTTTGGGGCACACGGGGCTGTGCTTCAGGGCCTGTGCTTTGGGGGTACACGGGATTATTATGGGGGCTGTGCTTTGGGGGTACATGGGGTTATTATGGGGGCTGTGCTTTGGGGCACACAGGGCTGTGGGCAGCTGTGCTTTGGGGATACATGGGTTATTATGGGGAGCTGTGTTTGGGGCACGGGTCTGTGGGGAGCTGTGCTTTGGGGATACACAGGATTATGATTGGGGACTGTGCTTCAGGGCTTGTGTTTTGGGGGTACATGGGGTTATTAATGGGGGCTGTGCGTTGGGGCACACAGGGCTGTGTTTTGGGGGTACACGGAGTTATTATGGGGAGCTGTGCTTTGGGGGTACACGGGGTTATGGGGGGCTGTGCTTTGGGGCACACAGGGCTGTGGGCAGCTGTGCTTTGGGGATACATGGGTTATTATGGGGAGCTGTGTTTGGGGCACGGGTCTGTGGGGAGCTGTGCTTTGGGGATACACAGGATTATGATTGGGGACTGTGCTTCAGGGCTTGTGTTTTGGGGGTACATGGGGTTATTAATGGGGGGCTGTGCGTTGGGGCACACAGGGCTGTGTTTTGGGGGTACACGGAGTTATTATGGGGAGCTGTGCTTTGGGGGTACACGGGGTTATGGGGGGCTGTGCTTTGGGGCACACAGGGCTGTGGGCAGCTGTGCTTTGGGGATACATGGGTTATTATGGGGAGCTGTGTTTGGGGCACGGGTCTGTGGGGAGCTGTGCTTTGGGGATACACAGGATTATGATTGGGGACTGTGCTTCAGGGCTTGTGTTTTGGGGGTACATGGGGTTATTAATGGGGGGCTGTGCGTTGGGGCACACAGGGCTGTGTTTTGGGGGTACACGGAGTTATTATGGGGAGCTGTGCTTTGGGGGTACACGGGGTTATTATGCAGGGCTGTACTTTGGGGCACACGGGGCTGTGCTTCAGGGCCTGTGCTTTGGGGGTACACGGGATTATTATGGGGGCTGTGCTTTGGGGGTACATGGGGTTATTATGGGGGCTGTGCTTTGGGGCACACAGGGCTGTGGGCAGCTGTGCTTTGGGGATACATGGGTTATTATGGGGAGCTGTGTTTGGGGCACGGGTCTGTGGGGAGCTGTGCTTTGGGGATACACAGGATTATGATTGGGGACTGTGCTTCAGGGCTTGTGTTTTGGGGGTACATGGGGTTATTAATGGGGGGCTGTGCGTTGGGGCACACAGGGCTGTGTTTTGGGGGTACACGGAGTTATTATGGGGAGCTGTGCTTTGGGGGTACACGGGGTTATTATGCAGGGCTGTACTTTGGGGCACACGGGGCTGTGCTTCAGGGCCTGTGCTTTGGGGGTACACGGGATTATTATGGGGGCTGTGCTTTGGGGGTACATGGGGTTATTATGGGGGCTGTGCTTTGGGGCACACAGGGCTGTGGGCAGCTGTGCTTTGGGGATACATGGGTTATTATGGGGAGCTGTGTTTGGGGCACGGGTCTGTGGGGAGCTGTGCTTTGGGGATACACAGGATTATGATTGGGGACTGTGCTTCAGGGCTTGTGTTTTGGGGGTACATGGGGTTATTAATGGGGGGCTGTGCGTTGGGGCACACAGGGCTGGCATTCCACCCCCACGTGGGGAATACGGAGCGCGCACCCGCTTCCCTCTTGGAGTCTTATGCATATTAACCAGGTTCCGACCAATCAGGAGCCGAGGCGGAGCTAGAAAGGTCGCGAAGCTACCTCATCCCGGGGCCGAGTGCGATTTGCATATTCATAAACAGGGCGGGACCAGGCGAGGGGTATATAAGGAGCTGCGCCGGCAGCTCTCAGCGTACATCGTGCTGGGAGTTTGAGCCGCTGTGACTGCTTTGCACCCCACCGAGGACCGGTAAGGCGCCTGAGGCGAGGCGGGGGAGCCGGGCCTGCAGAGGCGGCGGTGTTGGACCCCGTGAGGCGCGGCCCCGCGGCAGCGGCCGGTTTCCCTAGCGGGAGACGCGTGTGCGGGGGGTGGGTCCCCGCGTCAGCCGCTGGCGTCCCTGGTGGGGCGAAACGCCGCCGTTTGGGCTGCTGCTGGAGGGGGAGGGCGAAGCGGTTAGCGACAACGCATCCTCGGAAACAAAATGGCGTCCGCGTTCGACCGGCGCAAAATGGCTTCCCCCATTATCGCGCCCCACTACGCATGCGCTGAGCGGGCGGGGCCAGGCGGGAGGCGCTAAGGTTCGGGTTGCGGGGCGTAAAGGCGCATGCGCGTTGCCAGGGGCATCCCATTCAAACGCCTGGTACGCTGCGGGGCCCTTTGGTCTCTGGCCTCAGAGCCTGACTGGTGGGAAGTGCTGAGCCTGGGGGACCAAGAGCAACAAGGAGATAGACCATGTATCTCTGGGTTAGGCCAGGCCTGCTGCCAGACCTAATCCTCTGGTTGCTTTTCTGTTCTCTGGCTAAGTTCTTAGCCGCTTGGATCTGGACTATCAAACGCCTGGTACGCTGCGGGGCCCTTTGGTCTCTGGCCTCAGAGCCTGACTGGTGGGAAGTGCTGAGCCTGGGGGACCAAGAGCAACAAGGAGATAGACCATGTATCTCTGGGTTAGGCCAGGCCTGCTGCCAGACCTAATCCTCTGGTTGCTTTTCTGTTCTCTGGCTAAGTTCTTAGCCGCTTGGATCTGGACTAGCAAAGAGATGTCTAAAGCTGAAGTTCTGCTCAGCTGCTGTGAAATTGCATAAAAATATTTTTGTCCAGATGACACTGGTCTAGGAATCAATGCCTTAGTCCCCTGTGATTCAATGTACCAAAGCAACAAAAAACCTTTTCCTTTGGGATTTAACAATGTTTCATTTTACAGAACAAAATGGCATCAGATGAGGGAAAGCTTTTCGTTGGTGGACTGAGTTTTGATACCAATGAACAGTCACTGGAGCAAGTTTTTTCTAAATATGGACAGATATCAGAAGGTAAGAGCAACGTAAAGTGGTTGGGATGGAGGTTTTTGGGGGGGCTGAAGTGGATCTATGTTTTGGATAGACATAGGTAGTCGATTATTGTCTTTCCTTTTCAGTTGTGGTGGTGAAAGACAGGGAGACCCAGAGATCCAGAGGCTTTGGATTTGTCACGTTTGAGAACATAGATGATGCTAAAGATGCAATGATGGCTATGAATGGAAAGGTAAGGTGATGTTGTGATGCATGATCACAGGACCATATCTATATAGAGTATAATAGCGTTCTGTTTTGTGTCAAGCAGGGAAAACTTAACATTAACCATTGTGGTGAAATCATAAGTAAATATTTTACCAACAAAAGGGAATATTATTTTTAGGAGCAACTTACTGTGAAAGTCTGAAAACGAATAGGAATAAAACTCTTAAGGGCAGATTTGCTCTTTTCTTATTTCAAGCATGATTTTTATTTCTTGAATGCTCAGTAAATATTTATTGGTGATGGCTTGATTGCTCCCATATCCAAAAATCACAATCCATTACTGACACGAATGACAACCTAGTTCTTCCACTCTGTACCTTACATTTGGAGTGCTTTGTAATTGCTCCCCTGTTCTATTTTAAAAGCATGTAATGTTGATACAATTTATTTTTCCTCTTTACTGATTTTAGTCTGTTGATGGGCGTCAGATTAGAGTTGACCAGGCAGGTAAATCATCTGAAAACCGATCCCGTGGATACAGAGGCGGTTCATCTGGTGGCAGAGGTTTTTTCCGTGGAGGCAGAGGTCGGGGTGGCCGTGGCTTCTCTAGAGGTGAGCTTTGTGTAACTGGTTTTCAATACCTGACTTGACATGGACAAATTTTCAAGGTGTTAATCAGTCCTTTATTGTCTCAAGGAGGTGGAGACAGAGGCTATGGAGGAAGCAGATTTGATTCCAGAAGTGGAGGATATAATGGATCTAGAGATTATTACAGCAGCAGGTAAATACAATCAAAGTAGAGCACAAGTGTTAAAAAAGCTGACTGTTGTGGTTTTTGTCACAAACTCTTCTGAAGTAATTTAACTTGTTGGTATGTAAACTAGCTCAATC